TACGTTACCGTTTCGATGAGCAAATGTAATCTACATTTATAATTTACATATGACGCCACTGAGCTATTAATTAGTTGAAGTTAGAATGTTGAGGTCTTAAGTGTCAATCGTTTTTTTTTAATTAGCAGTGTTTTTTTCCAGATGCATTCGCGAAAGCAGCAGCATTACGTCTATTGGAGGCAGCTCGTACTGGTGACGTGGAGACAGCTCGCGCCCTACTGGACTCCAGACCTCGGCTCGTCAATTGCAGAGATGTGGATGGAAGGCATTCAACACCGCTGCACTTCGCTGCAGGGTATTTATACATAGATTATTATAAGGTGTCAAAAGAGCAAGCTCCCACTTGAATTCGCTGAAATAGCGAAAAGATCGCTGCCCATAGAAATCCGCAATCGCCGATGCGTTGCTTACTTTTAATCGATGGATAAGGAGACGCACTGAAATCCACTAAATCCATGTCCCCTTTCCATCTTTTCCTTATAAGAATAGGATTAGAAAACATACTTCCATAGTAGGTCTATTATAATTAATTTCCAAATATGTTGGTGGCTCGAAGTCATGCTGCGCAGTGTCTTCCCCCCGCATCCCGCTACGCCGCAATACACCTAACATTATGTTCTGCGCAGCGACTCGCGTGAACTTGAGAGCCGCTGACATATCTGACAACAACTATACAAAGATGTTGTATGTAAAAATAATATGAGTGTTTAAATTTCCAGATACAACCGTCTCCCTCTCGCGCAGTTGTTGCTGCAGAGAGGGGCTGATGTTCACGCTAAGGATAAAGGGTATGCTGAGTTTTGTACTTAATTCTCTACGTGTGTTTTTTTTTTCATTATAAAAGTCATAGGCAATGGATTCTGTTTATAAAATTATAAAAGCAGTTGTAAACGTTTTGATAGCTTTCATTATTGATTCGATTAAGTTGCGAGAATGAATCCGATCGATCTTGTGTAACTTTGAAAAATGTATGAAACTGACGCGCGACAATCACGTGTCTTATAGAAGTTATTGCCAGTTCTATACATTTTTGAAGTTCGTTATGGAATCACTTCAAATGGACTTTGTCTAAACCCGTAGCTATGAATCGATTCAAATTTCACATTAACTTGAACCGTTGAGCTACGACTCAACATCGATGTACTATAACTATGAGACTAACAGTTGTCAGCTCGAAACATAAATCAGCATACATACAAATTAAAATGAACCGATTCACTGATCTGCACTCATGTGAATCATGATCCGCAGGTCTTTTTAGTTCATGCAATATTTGTCAGGGGTCTGGTACCATTACACAACGCGTGTTCATACGGTCACTATGAGGTGACAGAACTCCTGGTGTCAGCGGGAGCTGGAGTCAATGCTGCGGATCTCTGGAGGTTCACGCCGTTGCATGAAGCTGCTGCTAAAGGGAAAGCGGATATAGTCAGATTGTTACTTAAGGTAAGTATCATCAGCTAACTATAGGTCCCCACTGAGGGTCTAACCTACCCTAAGTGATGTGACTATGTGATAGTGAACGCTGGTCCAGTGCGTCACTTCACACATATCTTTGACATTCACAGATATGTGCAGCATCAACATGTTTTCCTTCACACTAACAACATAGGATAATATTTAGCAGATAGCAAATATTTCATCAGTGTTTATATGTCTAGGTGAAAACTTATAATTTTCTCGATTTATTTGCCTATTATATATTGGATTTATATGTTCTTCCAGAATATGTTCTACATTTATGAAAATTTTCAGCAAGATGCGTTCAGTCTTTATGGAGATGCCTTCAAACAAACATCCAAACATTCGCATTATATTTCTTCTGTATTATAGAGGGTTTCAGGATTATTAATTACACCCTGTAGAATATAGCCATGGATTAAATAAGAGGATGATGTTTGTTTGGTATCAGCACGGCGCGGATCCGACGCGTCGTAACCGCGACGGCCTCACGCCGCTGCAGCTGGTGCGTGCGGGGGACTGCGACACTGCGGATGCGCTGCGCGGTGATGCCGCGTTGCTTGACGCTGCTAAACGCGGGGATCTCGCAAGAGCCAAGTTAGTTGCCCGATGGGTTAACCGTTAGACCATTCGGCCGTTTCAATTTGTTTTTGATTCTTTACTTTTGTATTCTACTGATCATGTTCAATCGGCCCAACAAAAATCGAGTTGATTGATTTACCAATCAAACCTACCGGTCGATCGGTCCAACGGCAAACATCTCGTCATTTTCCATCCAGTATATTACGTCAGAGATTTGTTAGATATCTTAGTCTATCCACGATAGTTAAAACTATTTTTTTTTAGTTTAATTACGTTAAGTGCTAAATATTACAAAATTCTTGTTTGTATCTTGTCATATCATGTATAAACTTATATAAAAACCGCTAAAACACTCACGTATGGTTTGGTGTCGGCACCGACTAGTTTCCAGCTGATCGGGGGCCCTTCATCAGTCAGTGGGACTGGTATTATATCGCGGACAAGGCCCTCAGCTCACTCAGTGAGTGTTTTAGCTGTTTTTATATCAGTTTATTATAATGTCTCACGAAACTGTCGGTTTCTGAGAGCAAAATCTTTATATATATAATTCTTGTGTGAGTGTGTATGTCACTGAACTTCTCTCAAACGACTGGAGCGATTTTGATGAAATTGTTTGTGTATGTTCAAGGGGATCTAGGAATGGTTTAGATTCACAATTTTGTCCGCTGGACGATGTTTTTTTAATAAATTTTTAATTTATTAGTAGTTGTTGATTTTGGAATGTTTTACATTGGATCCGACAGACGGCGCTACCATCATTAATTCAAATTAAAGACGTGTAGACAGGACAACGTCTGTCGGGTCCGCTTGTATCTGTATAAAACATGTCGTCCCTGTCAACAAAATAAAGATAACAAGTTTTGCATAGATTTTATATAGAATAAGTAAATTTATTAGATTTTACTCTTCTACCTACTTATGTAAAGTACTCCATCTTTAAGTACGGTTAGCTGGTAGATAACTCATTGAGTTAAACTCGCCATTTTATAACTTTTCGCGAATGGTACGCTTTCGTTACAAAGTCAAGTGTCAGATGTAGTGAGGGGGACATGAACGTTGATATTTTAATAAGGCTAGTGTTGCGATACAGCGACACTGTCGGATTTATTTCCTAACAAAACTGTGTGTACGATAAAGAAGATTTTTGTCTCGGAAACCCACGGTTTAAGAAATTATAACATCTCTACCGGGTCAGATAAGTTTGTAGCACTATATATAATTTCTTACAGGAAACTGATAACAGCACAGAATGTCAACTGTAGAGATGCACACGGCAGGAATTCAACGCCTCTACATCTTGCTGGTAAATTATTGTTTAAAAATAATTAACTAATCAAATTTGTCTATGCACTAACCAGAGTTTAATCTTTTTTTTTATATTATAAGTTGGCAAACGAGCGAGCGGTCACCTGAAATCGCTGATTTAGCGAAGTGACCGTTGCCCATAGACATACGCAAATGTATATACGTTGCCTACCTTTAATCGACAGAAGAGAGGATGCACAGAAAGAAAATATTTTCACCTTCCATGCATCCTCTCATTCGGAAAGTCCACTTCCACTTCTTATCCTTTCCTTATGAGAAAAAGGGTGGGAAGGGAAAGAGGACTAAATTAGTCCTCCGGGACACATACTCATCAGACGAAACGCGGAATAGCTTCTACTTGAGGCGTGTCTTCTGTATGGTCGTGGTATTTCACGGGACGAGCCGGGACAATTCTTGCGGAGATGTTAAAGCTCGCTCTACCACTGTTGAATCTATGTCTCTTTTGAATTTCATCCAGATCGGTTAAGCCGTTCTGGAATTACATGGTAGTAAATGTTTGGATGTATGGATGGATGTTTGTAACAAGATATTTCCAGATCACTTGTATGAATTACTTTTTACCTTTTGCGAGACTATCTTACATGTATAAAAATCGATTGGTGTTTGTTAGTCTCGTTTAAACTCGGGAGCTGCTATTTACTATTTTATTTTAAATAGCAGCTCTATACAATAACAGCTATATATTTATTTTATTTATTTAATTAACGAATTTATTATATCTTGGTCTTGAAATGTTCGTGGAGGTCTAGGGAAGGTTTATAAGATGAGAAAAATTCTAATAATTCCCGGGTAAACTCTAAAACAGCCCTTTTCTTTTTTCCATATAAACGGCTGAATATATGTATAAACAGTCTAGAAGAACACATAGGATAATATGTTTTATTAAATACGCGCGGACGGAGTCGCGAGCGATAGCTAGTCATTAATAAAAAAAAACATAATTAGTAGCCTCTTCCAGACTATGTTTTACATCTATGACAAATTTCACAAATATCTATGCAGCTGTACTGGAACATACCTTCTAACATACATCCAAGCATTTATAATATTAGTAAGATGTATGTAAGTAGCGAGCTTATCACCATCTCAAAGACCGGCAATGCATCTGCGGTTCCTCTGGTATTGCTGATGTCCATGTGCGTCGTTGAACACCTCGGTGTTCCCGCTGCTCGTTTGTCCCCTTCTGTTATAAAAAAAATGTTGTTTCCAGCGGGTTACAACAATTTGGAGGTCGCAGAAGCATTACTAGAAGCTGGAGCGGCTGTCTCCGCACGTGATAAGGGTGGACTTGTACCCTTACATAATGCAGCTTCATACGGACATCTTGAATTAGCAGCGTTACTGTTGCGCGCCGGCACTCCACCGAATGCAGCAGATAGGTGGGGCTTCACACCTTTACATGAAGCTGCGCATAAAGCACGCACACAATTGTGTGCGTTATTGGTGAGTTACACACACATATATACAAGCCACGCCTACATAACTACAAGCCATACCCACATAACCACAGGCCACACCCTATAACTACAGGCAACGTCAACATACAATCAGACCACGCCCACATACTCATAGGGTACGCCTATGTGCTCAAATGCGACACCCACGGGACTCTTTACACACATAATCATATGACCACGCCCATGTGTAACTTAAGAAGGGTGAATTTGGCCCATTTATTTAAATTCTTGAAAAAAAAATTACTCTATAATTATTTTTTTAATTTATACAATTTACTATAGGATTAAACTTAATTCGTGACAGTTTTAAGACAACTGGATAAGTTTTATGGAACCGCGATACTCTCTTTTAAATGTGTCTCGCTAACCCGAGTTTATCGCTTATGGAGGTCGTGTGTCGAGACCGGACAACGACTCTCGTTTAAAGAGATTTCTCGCTTATCCAAATTCGACAGTATTACTTTGCAAAGTACAGACAACACGTGACAATGATCATTCGTCTCTTTCACGCTTGTATCCTAGCTAAATAGGCTGTCTCTTTCAGCTGGCTCACGGCGCAGATCCGTTCCTCAAGAACCAAGAAGGTCAGACAGCACTAGAGCTGGCGGGTGCAGACGACGTGCGCTCTCTGCTGCAGGACGCGATGACTGGCGCTGCAGGAGGTGCGGGGAGTGCGGGAGGTGCGGGGGGCGTGCAGGCCCCGCCCCCGCAACCGCCGGCCCCGCCCCGCCTCCCTATACGTCTGCCATCCGGAGAGACTGCTACACTAGCGCCACCGGTAAGAGGAATTTGAACATCTGGTTTAGTTGTTTTTGTCACTTAGTCACTTTCTTTCTTAAGGTTTTCGTTTCTTTTATTTTTTAAGTGTATTTTACTAACAGTGGCCCATAACTACGTCCTCGCGACATAAAAAAAAACCTGATAAGTATGTGCTCTTCCAGACTATGTTCTACATCTATGTAAAATTTTAGCGAGATTTATTAAGCCGTTCTGGAGATAGTTTATCTCAAACATACGTCCATTCATTCGCATGTATAATATTAGTAAGATATACCAGGTGATGCCTTCCAACTACTGGGCGGAGGGTTCCCGCGGCAGTCTGGAGGACGCGGCCGGCAGACCTGCCTCCGCACTCTCCACCTCAGAGTGTCTGCAGACCTTCCTTGCTAGGTAACTAACATTTCACTAAGCGCTATTGATTTACACATGTTTGATAAAATATATCATTTTTTAGTAAATTTTAATGACAAAAAAGTGTCTTGACAGACAAACAGACGGACGGACAACAAAGTGATCCTATAAGGGTTCCGTTTTTTTTCTTTACAAGTACGGAACCCTAAAAAGATATGGACTTAACGATAGCCTTGTGTACTTTGGATAATTGTTTAATTCTGTACTTGTAGGATTTATTTTTTATATTTCGTATATACCCGATACGTCTTATAACCGATGCGTCACTATAACCGATACGTCACTATAACCAGTATATTGTTATAACCGAAACATCGTTATAACCTATACGTCGTTATAACAGATACGTCGTTATAACCGATACGTCATTATAAGCGAAACTTGACTATAACCGATACGTCATTATAAGCGATGTGCCGATGTTGAATGCAGGATCGGTCTGGAGCAGTTGTGGTGCGTGTTGGAGCGCGAGCAGATATCTGTCGACATATTGTCTGAGATGTCGCACGAGGATCTGCGCGCTGTCGGCGTCGCCGCGTATGGACACCGGCATCGCCTGATCAAAGCCGCGAGACATACGCTGCACACACAGTCAGGTAACAATATCACCTCACTAAGTCTCCCCTGAGGGTCTCACCTACCCTAAGGGTGCAGGTCCAGTGCATCACTTCACACATATCTTTGACATTCACAGATATGTGCAGCATCAACATATTTCCTTCACACTAACAACATAAGATAAATGTACATATGTAAAAACACATTGGTTTAGTCGGGCTTCGAACCCAGGACCTGCAGATTGCAAATCAAGTGATTTAACCCTTGAGCCAACGACTCCCTCCCACTTAAATTTAACATACATAACCATAAAAGAAACCCTTTTGATAATCAAGTAAAATAACTATCGCTCGCAACTCAGCATGGACAGAATTTAAAAAAAACATAATAACTAATCTATGTGTTCTTCCAGATTATTTTCTACATCTATGACAAATTTCATCAAGATCTACGCAACCATTCTGGAGAGACCTTCAAACAAACATCTAGACATTTTATAATATAAGTGAGATGTATAACAGAGTACTACGGAGGCACGACGCTGGTGGAGGTGGTGCCGGAGGAGTGTGGGGGCGGGGCTGGTGCGGCGGGGGCGGAGGGTGCGGGGTGCGGGGAGTACGGGATGCTGGAGCGAGAGATGCAGGACTCTGTGCGCGCACACCGCGACCATGTGGGAGGACAGTTCTCAAGATATCGTGTTGTTAGGGTGAGTACAACTATAATATCTTTTATTAGGTGGCAAACGAGTAGTCACCTGGATTCGCCGAAATGGCGAAAACACGACCGTCTATAGACATTTGTGAGAGATGGAAGGTAGGCGTCGCATCTGCAATTGCGGAACCGGCAGAGGTCGATTCGCTATTTTGGCGAATTTAAGTAACCACTAGCTTTTTGCCAACTTATTAGTCTATCGTACTAATATTATAAATGCGAATGTTTGGATGGATGGATGATTGAAGGTATCTCCAGAACGGTTCAACGGAGCTTGATGAAATTTGGCATACATGTAGAACATAGTCGGGAAGAATACATAAGCTAATTGTTTTTTTTTGTTGCGAGCGACACTTAATGATTTAATATTCAATTACAGATACAAAAAATAGTTAACGGACGTCTCTGGGAGCGATATCAGCACAGACGTAACGAGGTGTCTGAAGAGGCGGGTGTACCAAACGAGAGGATGCTGTTCCATGGATCACCATTCATAAACGCTATCGTTCAGAAAGGCTTTGATGAACGACACGCGTATATCGGTGAGTTGACTAATAATGACTTAAGTTGACTTGCATTGACTTATGTTTTTTTTTATATTATAAGATGGCAAACGAGCGAGCGGTCACCTGAAATCGCTGAAATAGCGAAGTGACCGTTGCCCATAGACATACGCAATTGCATATGCGTTGCCTACCTTTAATCGACGGAGGAGGGGATGCACAGAAAGATAATATTTTCCCTTTCGATGCATCTCATCTGGAAAGTCCACTTCAACTTCCCATCCTTTCCTTATAAGGAAAAAGTGTGGGAAGGGAAAGAGGAGTAAATTAGTCCTCCGGGCCGCACACTCATCAGACTGCACGTCTTCTGTATGCTCGTGGTATATCACCGGACGAGTCGGGACTATTCCTGCGAATATGTTCAAGCTCGCTCTACCACTGTTAAAAATGTTGACTTACATATTGACCTATATTGACTTATTTTGATGTTGAGCGAGTGGACTGCATGATTGAATGAAAGGCTGGTTGGTTGCTGATGATTATAATACGATGAAAGATTATGTATATTTTTTTTATTTTTTTATTCGGAACAACTAACGACTACATAATGTATATACATCAAAATAATACATAACAAAGACTTAGTAATTATGTACCCAACACCGTTGTTCACAATTATAATAGAAAAAAAGAAAGGAAAGAAAACAGTAATAAAACTATTCGTACAGTTAAACTAAACAAATCAGTTCACAAAGACAAAGCACGCGCGACACTTCTCCTGAATGATGCAGATGACGTGGAGAACAAATCTATATCAATAAGCAGATCATTGTATAGTCTCATCACCCTCCATAAGGGGGCGCGCTCACCAGCATGCGTCTTACATCGTTTTAGCGCGAACAGAACACTATTACGAGTGCTTCGAAAATAACATGTTCTGCCAGGCACATGCAATTTTATTTGTCTAATTAATTCTATGCAATTAAATTTATGGTTTAGGAGGTTGTGCAGCAACATAACATCCAAGACATTACGTCTCATGTCAAGCGTAGGCAAATCATATTTTAGCAACAATGAACTGTATGAGGACTTCGAACGAAAACAACGATAATGCATAGACCGTAGAAACTTGCGCTGTACTGCTTCAATTTGATTTTTACTGTTTAAATAAAAAGGGTTCCAGATAGGTGTAGCATACTCTAATTGAGAGCGTATAAGGGACTTATAGAGAAGAAGGTAGGACAAAGGTCGCTTGAAAGGGATAGAGGTGCGCATTACAAGACCATATAACTTAAATGCCTTTCCGATTATATAATCTACATGGGCATGGTAATTGAGCTTACAGTCCATATAAATACCGAGATCTCTTATTACTGACACTTTTTCTAAGAGCGTATTAGATAACGAATAAGTGAAACCAATGTTTTTACTTTTTTTTGTATAAGATATAAATTTAAATGTAGTTTGTTGTTTTCACAATACACTGTTAAACGATTTAGGTCTTCTTGCATTTTCACACAGTCAATATCGGAAGTAATAGCACTATAGACTTTAAGGTCGTCAGCATATAATTGGAAGTGCGTGTGTTTAAAACATTTATCAATATCATTTATATAAATAACAAAAAGCAAGGGGCCTAATATGGAGCCTTGACTTACGCCTGAAGTTACTTTAATAACTTCAGAAGTAAAGCCATTAATACAAACTTGTTGCGACCTGTTCTTCACATAAGATGAAAACCATCTAAGCAAGTTGCCTCTAATTCCGTTAAATGCGAGTTTTTGCAGTAATATGTCTTGGTCCAGCTTGTCGAAAGCCTTACAAAAATCTGTGTATACAGCATCTACTTGTACACGCTGGTCCATTGATTCAAAAAGAAAATTAGTGAAAATTACCAAGTTACTTGTTGTAGAACGTTTTTTAACGAAACCGTGTTGTTGTTCAATAATGATGTTATGAAAACAGGGATAAATATAATTATGGATCAATCGCTCAAATACTTTCGCCAAGGTGGACAGCAGTGATATTGGCCGATAGTTGGAGACAATGTTCTCGTTGCCGCTTTTGTATACGGGAGTCACATTTGCTAATTTCCACACATTTGGCACAGTACCTTCTTGCAAGCTTTTATTATACAAGATGTGTAACGGAGTGGATATGGATTCAGCAGTGTGCTTCAAGAAAAATGGAGGTATGCCATCAGGACCGGCTCCTTTCGAAATGTCTAATGACTTCAGTGCTACAATAATGCAGTCCTTAGTGATGTTATAGTCAGATAGTACAGTGTTACATATGTCGTTAAATGGTGAGGACACCGTATCGAGAATCTTATCGCTTTGTTCATATACAGATCCAAAAAATTTAGCAAACAGGTTACAAATTTTTTCCGGCTCATCAGCTACTACGCCATTATATTTCATACAAGAAGGTATGCCAGATTTTTTATTAGTAGTTTTTATAAAAGACCAGAATTTTTTAACATCTTGTTTTAAACTGTCTTCAATAGCGGCAATATAGTTGTTAAAACATTGTTTACTGAGTGTTTTAAATCTTTTGCGCAAAATTGAGAATTCTTCATAATGAGCTATCGAATTATATTTCTTCCATTTAATCCAAGCTTTTTCTTTGTCTTTAAAAATATGAATTAGAGGCCGATTGAACCAGATTGGATAATTAGTCGATTTCGCAGGCCGTACTGGCACGTTAGATTTTATGATTTCATTTAGTTTCTCATAGAAGACCATGCATGCTGTGTTCACAGGGTAACCCTGCAGAATGTCCAACCAGTCATGACTGTTAATATTTTCGTTAATTATTGCGTAATCTGCATCTACATAATAATATTTTAATGTTGGATCTGAATTAATTGTTTTACGTTGGCGGAACCATGATATACGAACATGAAAAGGAGGGTGTAGACAGTCAATATATACTAATGGGTTAAGCACTGGTTCGCAACAACACGCTTCATCGTTAGAAATAAATAAGTCCAGAATACGTCCCATATTATTTTTAATATAATTATATTGCCTAGTATGCGTAGCGCGTAAAAAAATACTCATAGTGGTAGTTAGTGCATTGTTGGTATCGCATGGCAAAGAGTATGTTTGAGTCGAGGGATCGATCCATTCAATATATGGTAAATTAAAGTCCCCAGCTATGTATATTTTGTCTATAATCGGCATATTATTGAAATAATACTGTAGTAAATTTAAAAATGTTGTATAAATATCTAAATCTTGATTTGGTGGTATATAAACCCCACAAATTACATGGAATATGCTACCCATTTTAATCTTCAATAACACGTAATCAATAAAAGGCGACGGTGTACTGTTTGTATCGTTATCAGGTAAGGTAAGTGCAAGCGAACAACGCTCGACGTGCAGGCCGCGGCGCACAGCCACTAGCACTCCGCCGCCATCACGCCTACCCGTCGCTGTGCGGTTTCGGTCGCATCTGAATACTGTGTACCGTGAATCGAAAACTTCACTATCGCTTATAGCGGATGATAACCAGGTCTCAGAAAGTATAATAACATCATACGAATGTGCTAACACATTCATGTAAATAGTATTGAGCTTCGTTCGAAGTCCTCGACAGTTTTGATAGTATATGCACATATTATTAGCCATTCTTATAGCTATTAACATAAAAAATATTACCGTAAGTGTAATTTATAAACACAAACACTTCTAAATGTACACATTTTTTAATGAAGTAGCAATCACAGAATACTAACGTTATAAGAAGATACATAAATCTGTTATTTATTTTACGTGATTTTAATCAACTTAAATTAATAATTAAACATTTAGAAATTTTAATAAAAGTTAAACATAAATCGTTCCTAAAAATTAAGAACATTAAGTGGGTAAACCAATAATTCATGCTTCTGACATGAGACACAATCCACACAGACATAGTATAGTTAACTTTAGAGAGAACATTGATATCCGTTATTAGATTGCTGCACTCCATCCCAAAACCTTTTAAACGTTTACATAATAATTTCAAAAAATTGCTTATTTTTCTGAAACTTAGTAAGAATTTATGTACTACGAAAAATATTAGACAAATAAAATTACCTTTAACAGTTGGCTTTAATTTTGGATAAGTCGCCTTTAGATCGAACAGCAAACACGGGTGAGGTTTCTTTTGCTCTGACAAGTATCGTTCCATGCTTGACCCATACAAATCTGTAGCCACATTTTCTAGCTGCTTCACGTGTTTCTCGAAATAAACTTTTGTTTTTTAAAGTCAGATGTTCATTGGCGTATATATTATGTTTAGGGCCTGATATACCAAGTTTTACTGAATCAATGTCCTTTTTTAAACGAATCGCTGATAACATATTATCTCGTAACATTCGGTTCCCGAATTTCACAATAACATTCTTTGGCCGAGTGTTATCCATTGTAGCATGAGGCACACGATGAACTGAGACTATGTCTTGCTTACACACGGGTATATTGACCATAGAAGCGATATTTTCCAAGACCATTAATAGGTTTTCCCCTCTTCTTTCAGGCAGGTTGCTGATTTCCATATTAGTCATTCGAGCCTGTTGTTCGATCATATCGATCTTGAC